CTCCCTCCCTCCCCCCCCAAAGCGGCGCACCTGCTCAAGCATGAGGAACATGGCGATGTTCCAGGACCCCAGCCGCGCAAAGTTGGGCATGAAGCCGTTGTAGAAGGCCAGCACACCCTCGTTGCGCGCCGTCTTGACGAAGCAATCCAGCACCCCGCTGTACTTCCCGGTCCGGTCCCCTGCAGCGGGCGGCAGAGGCCAGGGGAAGACGGTCGCAGTTGATAAATGCGGAGCGCCGGGATTGCTGGGGGCAGTGGCTGAGTGGCAGGGGTGGATGTTTCGAGGTTCACGGCTGGGAGGAGGGTCCCGGTTGGGAGCAGGAGGGGCGGCTCAATGTATGAAGAAGCTGCAGGGGTTTAGGGTCGGAGATGAGGAGGTCGAGTACAGGGGGAGGGGAGGATGTGCAAGGGCCAACTGGGTGGTGTCAACGAGGGAGGAGGAGGTAGGGGATGGGATGTGCCGCCCGCGCGCGCAGAGGGCCGGCGTGGCGTGGGTGAGGGCCTCGTCGGCGGGGCTCTTGGCGCCGCGCGGTCGCGGCGCTTTGCTGTTGCGTGGTGCGAAAGCGGGCGCCGCAAGGGGATTGCGGCGGCCGGTGATACTCCACGCGATTGTGGCGGCGAGCGGCGGGAGGGCACCAGGCATGACCATGCACAAGGCGAGCTGACGCCCCAAAGTGCCCCTATCAAAAACACCCGTGATAACCCGCCCCACAAACATGAGGGGAGAACTCAAGCCAATGGTGAACGCTGCGTCGGCATGCTTTGAATAGTTTGTCCTGGGTCATAACCGCGTTTGACAAGCGTTGCAGCTCCAAGCCCTGCCACCCAGGCTCCACTCCTGCAGCGACGCGAGGCGCTCACCCATGACGCGGCTCTTGACCACGTCTACTGGGCTGCCGACGCACACGGCAAAGAAGCCCGCGCCCAGGCCCGCCACCAGGTGAGTCACTATGTTGTCCTGTGGGTGATGTGGTGGGGCGGGGTGACGCCGTTTGTGAAGCTTGCTGTGTCAAGATAATGCAGTGCGAGATGTGTGGCGAGCTGCCAGAGGTGCGGCGGAGCAGCTGAAACGCGCATGGGGTTTGAATTGCGGTGCACCACAAGCAGGCTGCAGACATGACATGATCAGCGCCAACAATAGAGGGCAGGTCTCGCAACCCCAGACTCGCAACCCCGCACGCCACCGCCGGTGCTGCGCTAAGCCCCCCCTCCCCCAACATGCAGCACATCCCACCGAAAAAATGCCGCTGGCCAGCATGGACTGCTTGATCTGGTCGTACGACGCCAGCTCAGCAGCGTTGATGATGGCGTTGCGGGCAATGTTCGGGCCCAGGCCCTTCCACAGGCCCAGCAGGCCCTCCTCCCTGCGTGGATGGGGGCCGGATGCTTTCGCCTCAGTAAGCGCGCAGGCGGGACGCCCAGCCGGCGGGAGGGCGCGTGCACCACAGCACGGGGCGCGCGCACAAGAGACATGTGCGGTTTGGGCTTTGGGAGCTGCGGAGGGGCTCATATTTGGTCGCCCTTGCACCCACCGCAGAATGATGCCGTAGGCCCTGACCGCGTTGGGGTACTTCTTGGGCGCCCCTGCCGCCAGCTTGCCCTCCGACTGCATGCGCACCTGCACCAAGAAAGGAGGCAGAGCGCAGCCCGTGTCGGAAGGCATGTGACCAGAGGCAGCAACGGGGCCGGCAGCGGCGCTGCCCGTGTTGATGCGGTGAGGCATCTATGCCCCGCCGCGTGCCGCATGGTAGGCGCTTTCGATGGGCCAGCGAGAACGGGCGGTCAAAAAATATCCGCACCTTGACCAGATCTGTCGGGCTGGCCACGGTGATGCCTATGGCGCCCGTCGTGAGGCCCGCGGCGATCTTCAAGTGCAGCGGCACGTCCCCCACATGGTCCTTGCCCACAAAGAAGTTCTTTACCTGGGAGTCGAACAGGGGACATGCTTGCGTGTGAGTGGGTGCATATGAACACATGCATGGCGCACATGTCCATGCGTGCGCGCGTGCACTTGCATGCACATGTACATGCGTGTGTATATGCTGTCCCTGTCTTCAGGGCAGGCGGCTGCAAATCCATGATGCTGCGCCCCCTGCCCCTGCAACCCTCACCGGCTCGTACAGGCCGATGCGCAGGCCGCCGTAAACGACCTGCCTGTGCAGGCCTGGGGGATGCGGGCAGCAAAAGAATCAAGCCTGGCCAGGCTTAGCAGCCAAAATGCACACAGGCTCAGTCGTGCGCGAAACATCCGTCCATTCCAAACAGACCTACGGAAGCCGCGAGCGGCGCCGCGGGTGGCGCTGTGCCACGGCAGTTGTCTGCTGCGAAGCGCCTGACGACCTCCATACGTCGCACAAACTTTGTAAAGCGAGCTGGGCTCACCTGGTTCCAAGCCCTTCCACAGCGCGCCCGCGCCCTCCTCCCGCGCGATGGTTGCGCATGTGCCAAGCAGGCCCCTGTACCAGGTGGGCAGCAGGGTGCCAGGCAGCTGGGCCAGACGGTGTGGTGGGCGTCACACTCGCGTGCGCAGTCGTGCGCTGCAGCAACCGTCCCTACTCACATATGCTGCTTGAGCATGGGACCGCTGCTGCTGCTACTGCTGCTGCTGCTGCTGCTGCTGCTGCTTTTGTATGCAAAGGGGCGACAAATTTGCTGGGGCCGGCCAATGTCTTGGACCCTGACTCTGGCCGGGCCATGCAAACCTTGGGCATGCCTGCCCTTCCCACGCACTTGTATTTGCTTGCGCCATTCCCCTGCAGCTGTAGCCGCACTTTTGCCGTGTCTAGCGGCAGAGTCATAATCTGCGGTGAATGGGTGTTCACAGTGGGGCACAATGCTCGCCGCATGCTCCTGCAGCGGCAGGTGCAGCAGCAAACAGCGGCGCAGTGTGCGAGGATCGCTGGGTCTGTCTCCGTCACTTCTCCGCTTTCCTGCCCCCGGCTGATTGGATATAATATTATTCATCAAAGCGAACAATCTGCGCCTATTACCTCCGCTGTGCAGGCAGCAACCGCGCTCGCAGCGAACAGGTTGGGGAAAGGCAGCGGCGGTCCAGTAGGAGGCGGAGACATGGCTGCTGCTGTAGAATCACGCGTAATTCGAGTGGTATGCGTGCGCTGCAATGAGCAGATCTCGAGCGATCCGAGCTTTTCGAGGCTTTCAAGGGGTGTGCGTTTATGTAGGGAGTGCCCCGCTTGTAAAGAAGCAATCCAATGTTTTTGGCGTGAAGAACCGACTGCGCAGGCCGTCGTCGGTGTGCAGCACCAGGTAACCCCTTGCAGTGGAAGACCCACATTCCTGTGGGGGAGGTGGGCATTTGCGCCAGCTCAGGAATGGCTACAATGCAGGCCATCCTGTGCTTCGAAGATGTGTGAGGAGGCTGCAGGGGAGGGTTTCACACTACGAGCGGCTGATGTACCCATAATGAAACACATCACAGATATTGAGATTGGTAAGGGGGCAGCAATGATAACTGAGAGTAGATTCTGGAATCAAGTTCAGCACAGGAGCGCTGCTGCATGGTGAGTACATCAGCGTACGTGAGCACGTATCCAGCACAAAGTCATGATGGCTACGCGGCTGGCCAAGCACCCTGGCACGCCACGCAGCAGCTGCTTGTCTACCCAGTGATCCAATGCAGTCGAGCATCCTGCCTTTCATGATGGCACCGCACTCTGGTGTGATTGAAGCGTAGCATGTGTGTGGTGGAGAAACGCACCACCACGAACCGGTGCTCACAACACAGTGCTGCTGTGTGCCGCAATGTGCGAGCGGTCGACTGCATTCCTTTGGCAAAGGGGCGGCGTGCCACAGCAGGTGCTGCTGCAGTAGCTTGCGCCAGAACATCTGGCTGCCTCTCGCTGCACCAGCTTCATTGGGGGTCCACCTGGCCACCAACATCACGAGCTGAGCTGTAAGGGCTCCGCAGATTTCCGCAGCCATCCAAAGCCATACCCTCAACCTTGGCACAACAACACAGGTGAGGCTAGCCAACACCCACACCAAGGCTACACACCAAAATCGATCGCAGCTGCGCCGTATCCCCAAGAGCACGGCGCATCAGCAAAGTGCAGCGATTCTGCCTCTTGGACGGCCTCTCAACATCTGGCGACTGCCGCGTGCATTGCCAACCCTCTTTCATACTGTACCCCCCAGTCGTGAACGAATACCTTGTACACACGTCTCCCCCTCCTCCTACCCGCCTCCTCGTTCCTACCCGCCGCAAGCCCGCCCCTACAGCTGGGGCTGAGCTGAGCTGAGCTGACCATGGGCAGAGCTGCTGCCCGTTGCCCGGGGCCAGCTGCGAGACGACGCTTATGCTGCCGCAGCGGAACGCTCAGCCACACCTGGCCCGGGCTTCTGGGAGGCAGCATTGGTGTTGTGCAGGCGTCTTTACTTTACAAGTATATTGATTCCGCACTCTGGTGGCACCAGTGCGGGCAGATCAGTCTACCGGTACATGGTGTTTGAGTGAGATCAGCGAAGCTGGTATCATATGTACAGTACTCTGATAAGCAGAGGTCGACCACGTCGCAGCCCCTCACATCTATATCCGCAGTCCAATTGGAAACACTGCACTCTGCACGCTCGCGGCACTCGTGGCACTGCCATTGACTTTACAACCTTTTCCAGTCGCCAACCGGCTCATTGTGACTTTAACGACCCCTTGATTGCACGCAGCCTGGGCGCCTTGCCACCTGCCCGCGTGGATAGGCACGCCTGCTGCAGTAGCCAGCCGGCGCGAGCGGGCTGGCCGCCTCTGCACTATCGCCAATCGCCGGCGCTTCAGCTACCGTCCCATAGGACACACAGGCGATTGATCCAACCGCGCTCATAACGGCCCAGTCGCTGTGGGGCCAGCACAGCCGCCCACAAGTCAAGGAAGCCTGGACGAGTGAAGCGGAGCGGAGAACCAGGAGCGGAGTGGCCTGGCCATGTACCGCCCGGCGGTGGCTGCGTGGACTAAGCAGACCCTGCAGGACCATTTCTTCAAGGAGGCAAAGGTGTGAGGCCACATGGGGCGTGCTTGGGGGTGTGGGGGCGGTGCAGCAGCAGAGGTGGGGGCGGTTGTGCCCAAGCGGCAGGGGTTCTCTTGCCACAAGATATGGGCGCGAGCGGTTGCAGTACATTGCATGCAACAACAGGACTGCACTCTGAATGATGTTGCACGATGACCAAAACATGCCAGCGCACCGGGACGCCGGGTAGCACAGTTGTGCTGGGGGCAGCCGGCGCGATGCGCCGCGACAGCAATCGCCCGTCATGCCATCAGCAGCGCGCCCGCATCGGCGGCCGATCGCCGGCCCCGACTGCCGGCGCGAACACCTGCGCTACCCCTGCAGAAACAAGGCTATGTGTCGAGGGCTGCATACAAGCTGCTGGAGATCCAGAAAAAGCACAAGATCATTCGGCCAGGTCCGCCTCTTTGACCAACACCACCTAAGACGCTGCACTGCCACGAGATGCTTCCTATGCAAGCAGAAGCTGCGCACTTTGACAAGCTCACTGCAGGCGGCCGGGCGGCACCCTGCGGGAAGGCTGTCACGCGGGCAGCGGCCGCCCAAGGAGCCGCTGGATGAGCTCGAATGCACATCAGCACACGCCCTGCCCGACCCCCCACCCCACCTGTTGCTACCCCAGGTGCCAAGGTGCTTGACCTGGGCTGCGTGCCCGGCGCGTGGCTGCAGGTGGCGTGCCAGCAGCTGGGCCCCAGGGACAGGGGCGGGCTGGTGCTGGGGGTTGACCTGCAGGAGGTCAAGGTGCCAGCCAGGTGGGTGGGTGGGCGCGCTGTGCGCGCGCGCGCGCGTGCGCGCGTGTGTGTTTGTGTGTGCGCACGTGCATGTGAGCGTGTGTGCCTGGAGCTGGTGTGCAGCTGTGTGTGTTGGTGGCCGTCTGGGTGCGCAGGTTTGTTGCGCGGTGTGCTGCGGGGTGTAAGGCACAACCGTGGTGTTGGTTAGATGCCCACAGGGGGTGGGCGGTGCACGTCGTGTGTGTGGCTATGAGCGCGTTGCGGCCTGTGACCTCCTCTTGCTCAAGCCCATCAATCAGGGCCCAGTCACAAGCGCGTTAGGCAGCCCGTCATGAGCGCCAGCAAGCTGCTGCCATTGTAACGAATATGGGGCGTTGCAAAGGTGAGCTGCCACCCGGACTCGCGAGGCACCAACACCCACCCGCGCGTATTGACCCGCTGCACCCCAGGTTTTGCGACGACCGCGTGAAGGTGCTGCAGGCTGACGCGCGGCTGCTGACTCCCGAGGTGCTCCTTGAGTTCACCTCAGACGTGAGCCGGGAAGCGCCCGCGGCCGTGGGCGCAGGCGGCCGGTCGCGCGCGTGTGGTGTTGGCGGGGGCGCCGAGGGAGGGGCTTTATGGAGGATCAAGGGGACATTTGGTCGTGCACAGCATTGGTGACCAAAGGCAAAGGGGCAGTAGAAGCAGCACGTGGGTTGGTGCGAGCGCGCGTGAGGCCGTGCAGTCGTCCCCACTCTGGCTCTCCAACTTCTTCGACGATGCACGGTTTCGCAAACCTCTCATCTCAGCCCTTGCTGCTGCCTGCTTTTTGTGTGCGTGCACCTCTCGCTGCAGGGGTTTGATGCGATTGTCAGCGACATGCTGCAGTTCACAAGGTGGGTGCGTGCGGGGCGGCGACATATGAGCGGTCAGGGCCCAAAAGCAGCACCTCAACAGCACGGACGCCTACCCGTCACGCCCCCGCTCCTCATTTGCACACATAGAGGGGACACAGAGAGGATCCTTCACTTGAAGAGAAACTTCCGGAGCTTTGCAGGAACACCAATGTCAGTGCCAAATAACCACCCCCTCCCACCACCGCAGCGGTGTCAATGACGTTGAGCTGTCCCTGGATCTTGCTGGAACAGCCCTTAACGTGGCCACAGGCTGCTACTATGACATGTACGGGGAGCAGTTTGAGCAGCAGGTGCGCTCTGGCTGCATCCTGTAAGTGCACAAAGCATTGTCTACATGTGCATGTTTGAGCCTGCGTGTTTGTCAGGGGGTTGTGGGGCCGACCAGGGCAGTGAGGATGGGATCGTTGTTGGGTGCGGCCACTCTTGATGTGGCCGTCGCCGGGCAGTGCCCTCGCCTCCCGTTGCAGTGTCCTGCTGCCACCCATCTGCACTGACATGCGTTCATTCACAGCAGACTGCTAGGGGAACACACGGCGCGGGCTGCGCTGCCCCCAACAACCCCCCTTCCATCCAACCGCCTGCAAACGCGCGCGCGCGCGCGCGCACACACACACACACACACACACACACACACATGTGCGTGCGTGTGCCACAGGTCGGCTTCCGCCACTCTGGGTTCTTGCGGCCTGGTGGGAACCTGGTGATGAAGGTCTACGAGGGCAGCGGCACGACAGAGTTCATCAAGTCAATGCAGCCCTACTTCACAAAGGTGTGGTGTGTGCATTTTTGTTTATGTATGAGAGATATGGAGAAAGAGACAGCGAGAGGGAGAGAGTTTGTGTGTGTGTGTGTGTGTGTGTGTATGTGTGTGTGTGTGTGTGTGTGTGTGTGTGTGTTGTGAGTGTGTGTGTGTGTGCGCGTGCGTGCGTGTTGGCAGGGTAAGGAGGGGCGGCGTTCGGCTAGCCAGTGCACCCTGCGTACGCGCGTTGCCTGCCAGGGTGCTGCTCTGAGTTGCGGTTTGAGTGATGGCCCTGCGCCTGGCAAATGGCCGGCCGGCCCTGCCGGCGTAATTTGCGAAACGGCACTTGCACCTGCCGCACACTTCACGCGGATGGCTCTATCTGCTCAGGTGGCGAGGATGCGCGTGGAGGCCAGCCGCTCGATGTCGCGCGAGTTCTACGCCGTGGGCTTGGGGCGTAAGGCTCCAGGGGTGCATGGCGGCGGCGGCAGTGGCAAGGCCAAGCGGTGACCCTCTACATCTCTGGCTGCAGCAGACTTTTGTAAACTATGCTTCCTTTTGTCTTTACGCCGCCCTGCCATCCACAGCATCACGCGAGCATGCGTGCTGTTGTCAATCAATGGCAGCAGCACGACGCGTTTGCGTGCGGTTTGTGTGTGGTGAGCGGGTTCGGGGCTGCGAACCTGCGACCCGTCTGCTAGGACTCTGCGACAGCAATGAATGCAAGGTAGATAAACTTTGAATCATTAAAACTGGACGAAATTACTGATACCCATGTTCCTGAGCATCTCACCGGATCTGGGACGCATCACGAGCAGCCAGAGCATGGCCAGCATCTGGCAGATGGCGGTGTTGTTGCCAGCGCTGAAGTTCAGCCACAGCGCACCACTCCGTGTTTCTTGCACCGCTGTGCGCTCCGAAAAATTCAATTACCCATCAATTGTGCAACGACTGAGCGCTGTTCTTATAAAGTGGCAGTTCACCCTTGGTTGCTGTCGTCTTGGGTCAGCGCGGCGGCATAAAGCGCCAGCGGCTTAACACCCCCAGTAATAAGCAGTATAAGGCTCATTTTGTTGGTTTTGAAACATCGGCGAGTGCCTGCATCCGTGGCTGGTTCTTTTGTCAAGGCAGCACTGGTCGAACAGGCCACGGCAATCCGTCTCAGGCGGTTTCTACGACCTATAAAGGCCGCACGATAGGTTTCGGAAGACCCTGTACGATTTGTGCGGACAGCGCCTCATCGGCAGCGGCGTCGCGGCCACCTGTCAATCAGCCGCCTCGCAGCGCTCACCAGGTGCACCGAGGCACCTCAACACTCAGCACCAGCCCTATACATCCAACAGCACACTAGCAATGGACATAATGGTGGATGCGAGCAGGCCCTGCAACCAGCTGCAGCAGCAGCAGCAGCAGCAAATGGTGCCGCCCTCGTCTCAGCTTTCGCAGCAGATGGGCGTGCCGCACCTGTGCAACCACCTGTGCTGTGTGGAGCACCTGATCGGCAACGCATTCAGGTGCAAGTCAAGCGGACAGGTGCGAATTCTGTGACACCCTCAACCCTGTCACTCCTGCAAACAGACCGCACCCCTGGGCTCAGGCAAGGGGAATCACTGGACTTCACGCCTGGAGCCGCACCTCCCAAGGACGGGCGGGGTGGTCGCAGCAGCGGCTGGCGCTGCCCGCGCCTTGCTGCTGCGAAATCCGCGAAATGCTGCTGTAAAGCCGCCTGAGTTTCTAGCTGGCACTTCGTTAATCAGTGTTCATTCGGAGTTGTTCAGCATCGCCCACTGATGCGGCAACGCATGGTTCCAAGTCCCATTGCAATGTTCACTTGGTGTATTTGGAACCCCCGCTCCCCTGCCACCCCACCCCCGCCTGCTCCCCTGCAGGTGCACATCTGCGACGGCAACTGCTCCCAGCAGATCTTCAATGACCGCTACACCACTGTCTGCCGCGTCAGCCGGCGTGTCTTTGCAAACGCCCATGTCGACCCGACGCCCTGCAGGTGCGCAAGCGCACAGCGGTCATGCCAGGGGCTTGTACGTGTGCCAGAGAAGCACCATGGGAAGACAGACCTGATTGCGCAGCACGATTAGCGGCTGCATGCGAATGCACCGGCAGCCGGTCCCTCTGCGGGGTCGACCCCTGCTGTCCCGCGCTCATCCTCATCGTGATCGTGTGCCGCCCGCTGCATTGGACAGGAAGCGCTCGTGCTCGCGCAGCGAGGAGTCGCCCGCAGACAGCGCCTGCAAGCGCGGGCCCGGCGTGGCCGGCGCGCTGCTCGGGGCAACGGCCTTCTTCGCAGCGGGGCCGACCGACATGGTCATGTGATGATGCGCCGCGGGGGCGGGTACCACTCGGAGTGACGTCACGTTGGTCGTGTCTTAGCCCGAGGCAGCTTGGGCGTGGCTATTGTCACAGGCACCAACTTGACCACACAACAGTTGCATAAATATATTTTATGGACGCACTCCGTTTTTGCACACAGAGCACCTCGCAATCACCGTTTTGTCCATTCTAGGGTGGCTTGGGCGGAGAGCTCCGCCCAGGCGCGCACAGCCACGCACACTTACCCACGCCCACCGCACCTGACGTCCGGCTGCAATCAGCGCCGGCCCATGCATCCACCCAGACTGCGACACGGTCTGCATCGCTAGGTGGTGACCGCAGCAACCAGGCACGTGCCTTTCAGACACAGACACACGCGGCACCCCTCCTCCCCCGGCCTCTCACAACCACGTTGGCGTCTGCGCCAGGCATGGCCGCCTACGTCGCGCCTCACCTCTCCTGAGGAGAGGTCCAGACTCAATGCCGCCACCTCTACCCCCTTTCTAGAGCCTGCCCTTGTACGAGGGGTTGGTTGCTACATGCAGCCCGAGCACGTTGAAGTTGTTTTTTTGCGGCCGGCGCTGCGCCCATCGCCCACTCATGCGCACCCCTGCACAGCACGATGCCTGCATGTGCAGGGTGCCTGCACATACAGGGGCCGCGACGTGCCTCAGGAACAGACTACGGGCTTCTCCAAGCCCAGACCTGACCGGAGGCTCCAGTTCTTTTCTGTGCCTTCTCTGGCCGGGCACACACTTTGAAGAGATGCACGCGAGCACTGGGGTTTTCCTAGGGGGGAAAACTGATATGGCACCGACACGTCTATGTTGGCTCCTTGTGAGTGCTTCAAAATCTTTGTTGGGATGCGGTGGGTGGGTGGGGGGGGGAATGCCAAGCAAGCAGGTCCAAAGGGGCTGTAAGAGAAGTCGCTTGAACACTCCGCCAGTTCATCTTGTTTGCTGTGAATGCTGCTTGCACATTTAATCAGTTGGTTGTGCCTGGCTGCAGGGCTGCCCATTGACTGACACGAGTAACATTGAGCTGCTTTCTGGTGTTATTTGAGGAGGCACAAATCTGCTGCAGACATTAAATGGCAGGCAGAGCAGAGAACACTCTTGCATATAAGAAGTCCGCGTTTGCAAACTGCCTTTTAGCACGTCTTTACACGCGAGGCGCATTAAATGTGCAGGGCATGGGCTATGTGTGGAGCGTTGGTGGTTGGCAAACCATGGGCAAGAGCTCGCAGGCACAACCCTCCTGGGCCACCTCTCACGGTACGCGAGGCGCATTTGCAGACTGGTGGAGGACCTGGTAGTTCCCATGGGGGTGCAGGTGTGATGCAGGCAGTGCATCTGCAAGCGAGCACCACCAAGCAATCCTGGCACAGATGCAGAGCGATGGCATCAGATCAAAACGCAAACGCCTCGTCGGCAGCAAGCAGGACAGCACGTGTGAATGATGAGTATGCGGACTCTTTGAGGGCGGTGGAAACACAGCGGTGGTCAACGGTCGGTGTGTGTGAAGGTGACAAGAGCTGCTGATGGGATGACTGCAGCAGTGGCGCAGCACCTTAATACCTGGTGTTCCGATCCAGGGGCAGCTACTCATGCTGTTGAACACCCTGGAAAGCTGTTGATGCCGTAGATGCAGAGCACGCCTGTGGTTCAGCCCGTGCAGCCGCCCGCCTGGCCGTCAGTGGGGCCAGGCGACCATTGGGCCGCTCCTTGCGCAGCCCGTTGACGATCAAACCTCTCAAGCTGTCGCGCAATCTTGTCACTTTTTTGCCGTGAGGTAGGCGACGCCGCAGACGCCTGCCCCAAAGAGACCCTGGGCTAGCGCAAACTTGGCCAGCGGCTGGGCCAGCTCCACACCGGAGGCGCCCAGCGAGTAGATGCACCACATCTGGTGAGGTTGCGAGGGTGGATGCACACGGAGGAGGCGTTCTTGGTGAGTTGGTGCTTGCATGCGCGCATGCGCATCTGCATCTGTGTGCGCGCATGCGTGCGTGCGTGCGTGCGTGCGTGCGCGCGCGTGTGTGTATGTGTGTGTGTGTGTGTGCGCGTGTGCGCGTGTGTGTGGTGTGTGTGTGTGTGTGTGTTCTGGCATGGAAGTCGGTGTTGAAAGGGGCTACAGCTCAACGGGCAGGCCCCCACACGCAGACTTCAGAAGGCCGCATCTACAGGGGCGCCAGAACAAAGCTCTGCGTTCCTCTTGGGCCCTCTTGCCCCGCGTCCGCCACGCGCACCCGCTGCGCGAGGGTGGCCGCGAGTGCGAGGTTGAGCAGCCTGAAGGTGCTGGCCCCCAGGCGGCCGCGGTCGGCAGCATCCTTAAGGGTGAACGCGGTGATGCCTTGGGGGGGGAGGGGGCGCGTTTGACTTTGGGATCAGGCATTGTGATTGAGAGAGTTGGTTCTGTGACCAAGCTCTGCACTTTGCGAAGTTCACAGCCACACCCAGAATCACGCGGGAGCGTGCCCTGCGGTCACAAGCGCACGCATGCGCAAGCGATAGTGCATCCGCCCCAACACACGGAGACTCACACGCTGAAGCACACGCTCACACTTGTACCCGGCACCACGCACCGATGAGCCACGTGCCAGCCGCGGAGGCCTGCATCAGGTAGCGCCCCACATAGTCCAGACCGCCGGGCAGCAGGGGGACGCGGCGGGCCGCGAAGAGGCCGATGAACAGCGCCAGGCTGACGAGGGTCAAATACGCGTACACCCCACCTTTGCGCGCGTGTGTGTGTATGTGTGCATGTGTGTGTGTGTGTGTTTGTGTTCACATATGTGTTTTTGTGTGCACATGAGTGTGTGTGTGTGCACGTGTACGTGTGTGTGTGGGTGTGTGAGTGCAACTGTGTGCGTATGCATGGTGTTGAAAGGGGCATGCCGTGGCCACAATAGGTGGGGCACGCGAAGCAGGGCAGCTCCGTAACTTCTGCCAGTAATTATAGATTCTCAACGATCCCCAGCGCAGGCAGCTGTGCACGACGCACAGGCGCGTCAAGCCCGCCGCACAGCGCGCGCGGCGCAAGGGCGGCGACGACCACCGCCCCCCACCCCCCACACACACACGGCAGCGGGCCCTCACTGTAGAAGTTTGGGGGCACCCTGATGCAGCTTGCGACGTCGGAGACAAATTGCTGCGCGGCCCTGCCGGCATCGGCGAGGACGCCGCGGCCGCCGCTGCCGATCTGGTAGAGCCGGTTGGACACCCAGAATATCAGCGCCAGGCTGGCAGAGCTCACGCTGGGCATGAAGGCGGGCGGGGAGGGGCGAGGGTGGTGGGCAGCGTGAGGCGGACGAGCGCGCGTTTGCTTGCGTCCGCGTGGCACAGGGGTGGCACCACCTCGCTGGCCATCGCATGCTTGTGGAGGCAGGAGGCTCCCTGCGAGCGTGGCGCAGACGCGGCGGCCACCCACTCGAGAGGCCATCCCATCCCGCCCCTGCGCGGCCCTGTGCCCCTGCCGCCGCCCTCAGGACGGCCGCGGGCGGGGCCCGCCGCTGGATTCTTTCCCTAAACCCTGAACCCTAGGCCCCGGGCGCACCCCAGGAGCGCGGGCTCGCTGAGGAGGCCGGTGGACAGGATGTCGCGGTAGCGAACCACCATGGCCAGCAGCGCGGCGCTGAGCACCGCCAGGCCCAGCGCCAGGCGGCGGTAGGTGTCAGAGCCGAGGCGGTTGTGGTCGAGGGCCTCCTGTGGAGCGGGTTCGTTGGGGGCGCGTCGGTGCGGGGGGGTGAGAGCAAGAGTGCGTGATCGAGCGCGTGCGGCCTGCATGCCTAGGCCAGGCCGTGAGCGGATGTGCGTTAGATCTCGCAAACAGAAGGCATCAGCGGAAAACTCAGTGATGACTTGAAGAGGGGGGACAGGAGAGACGACTTTGGACCCTCTCCCCCAAAACCTACCCCCTCCCACACAGTCATTTCCGCCTTATCCAGGTCGTCAACTTGTAACCCCATGTCACTTGCATGAGGGGAGAACGGCAGCCCCCTCGTCAACACCGGGCCCTCAACACCCGGCCCCCCCACAGCGCGCACAGCAGCAGAGCGCAGCGCACAGCGGGGCGCACACACACACACACACACACACACACACACACACACACACACACACACACACACACGCACGTACGCACGCACGCACGCAAGCACATACACACACACACACACACGCGCACGCGCACGCGCACGCGCACGCGCACCTTGAGGACCACCAGCCAGGCGGCGTAGATCCAGCAGACCGACGTCGCCATGCTCGTCAGCGCCGCGTTGAGCGTGCCCACGGACGACACCCCCAGCGACCGGCCCAGCAGCTGGTCGGGCGCCACCGCGCCCGCGGCTCCCTTGAGCAGCACCACGGCGGCCAGCAGCGTGCAGACGCCGCCCAGAAAGTTGCGGTCATGGGCTGAGGGGTCGGGGTGCGGGGTGCGAGCAGGCGAAGGGGGGGCGCGGGTCAAGGGGGGTGGGGCGATGCCGCACGGGTCGTCATCGCATGGGGGTTGAGAAGTGCATACGTGTGTTGGCAGGCGACGCAAAATGGGCGCTCTGCTCACCAAACGCGGCCTCTGCATCGCCCGTGGCAGTCGTAGCGATGTGTCGCGGGGCGCGCGGCGCGCGGTCGATCCTCGCCGCCGGCCGGGTCGCCAGGGGCGCTGCTCGCAGCTGGCGCCAACCTCGATGGGTCGCAACTCCTGCGTCAGCGCGAGTGTCACCGGGGGTTGGTCTGCTGTACATACATGCTTGCAAGTTTTTCTGTGCGCGCATTCTCAGTGTTGCTTGCACCGTATCAACGTACCGCGCGCAACTGTAGACGTCAGCATGATCTGCGTTGGGCGCGTTCTTGAGCGCTGATGAGTTAGTAAGAGCTTAGAAACAGTTAAGACGCGCTCGAACTCCAATTGGTGGTCTGCAAACTCTCAGATGAGCTGGCCCTGAAGTATGCACCGTCATTCGTCACCCGCTTCACGTGGGGTGTGCGGCGACGCGTGGCTTGGTTGGCCACCATGTGACTCAACTCAAGTGAGAGCTTGGGACGCCGTGTCTGTAGTGTCAGACGTAGGGACGCCATGTGGAAGCCTGTGGCCTAGTGCTGTACATAAAGCACATGAAAGCCCAGCCCGGTGCCGAAGCCCTTTCGTCGTCTGTTGCAAACCGGCCCACCAGAGCGCATGAGTCATTTACATGTGAGGCTGTTGGTGCCCGCTGACCACAGAGGGCGGGCTGGGCCTGATTTACTTCTTGGCGGTGAGCCACGCGAGGTCGCACACTGCAACTGTCGCCAGCCCCTGCGCCAGGATGCCCTGCCACAGCGGCCGGGCCAGCTCCACGCCGGACGAGCCCAGCGAATAGAAGAACCAGCACTGAGCGAGGGCAGCGGTGAGCGGCAGGCGTGGGATGGGCGCATTGTATAGGAGGACGCCCAGTATCGCGCAGCGCTTGCCCCATGGCGGTCGTTGCGACTGATGGTAAGAGCAGGGGCGCAAGCTGGCATCGCGTGCGGGCCAGGCGACTAGCATGCCTCGACTGCCAAGTCGATTTTGCACAGCTTGACCGAGCCCATCGCACCCCAGGAGCGGCGCTCTACCTGCTGCGCAACGGTGGCCGCGAGTGCGAGGTTGAGCAGCCTGAAGGTGCTGGCCCCCAGGCGGCCGCGGTCGGCGGCGTCCTTCAGGGTGAACGCGGTGATGCCTTGTGGGGGGGGGATGCGGTTGAGCGGGGTGGGTGCTGTTTATTGGAGGATGTGCACGGCCCCCAGGTGGCAGGGGCAAGGGATATGGTAAGAAGGACCTGCACGGGCACAGGGAACCGCAGCAGCTGTGGCTGCAGCTGGAAGCACACTGGGGCCATTAAACGGAGGCTAATCACAGCCGCAGCGGCAGCAGCAGCGGCGACAGCAGCAGCAGCGGCAGCAGCGGCAGCAGCAGCAGCGGCGGCAGCGGCAGCACACGCCGTGCCGGCCCCCACCTTGCAGCACCGCCCCCACGGCCGATATCTGTGTGAGGTACTGCCCCAGTGGGGCCAAGCCCGCGGGGAACAGGGGCGTTGCATTAACCGGGAACAGCCAGAGAAAAAGGCCCAGGGAAGAGACCGCCACCAAAGAGTAGTAGGCGCCTGTGCATGATTCCAGGGGGATGGGAGACGCTGGTGGGGATGTGCGTTCAACGTAGCGTGCCCTCAAATACGCTGCAGGGAGTGTCGCACACAGCAGAGACATGGCTGGTATGCACAGTCACCAAGTGGTGCCAACCCACAAGCCATGCCGCCTGCTGCGCAAGTGCAGGCTGCCCCTGCCCACCGTACAGGCTCTTGGGCAGAGTCAGGCAGCTGGCGACGTTTGAAAACGCCGACTTGACGATCTCCACCCGGTCTGCAAGAGGGCTGCGGCCGCCGCTGCCGGCTTCATACAGGCGCGAGGACAGGTAGGCCGTGGCCCCGAGACTTATGAACGACCAGCTGCGGTTGGTTGGAATCAGCGAGTCAAGCAAAGGGGTGGGGACGTGTTTGGGTGCTCCAATGCAACACGAAAGCTGTCTGCCCGCCGACCGGCCCGCTGGGAGCCTCGGATGCGTTGCTGCTCCTTACGTTCGCCTCCCCCGTCCATTTCCATAGTTCAAGGTTCCCTTCCCTCCTTCATCATCCGATCCACTTCCCTGCCGCAACAATGGCTCCCCTTCCATGCTGCCAACACCCGTTGCACAGGCATGAGCAGCTGCGCAACCATGCCGCCGACGCACCCGACGAGCGCGGCCCCCAGCATCGCGATGAATCTGAGGTTGACCACCAGCGCCAGCACCGCTGCATACAGCAGCCCCAGGGCGAGGCGCTTGTAGGTGTCTGACCCCAGGCGGTTGTGCACCTTGGCCTCCTGCGGTGATGGGGTCATCCCACGACGAGTCAGGGGGTGTTGGTGCTTGCAGGTTTCGTGTGCAGGTTGGCTGGTGCTCGTGCAAATGCAGCATCGAGGCGTGGTTGAAAGTGAGGCAAGATGTGAGGAGGGCCCGCAAAGTTGGGGGAGGGGTGGCGCGACTAGATGCGGAGATGTGGGACCATCAGGCACGTGTCTCGCAGCGGCGGGCTTCCGCAATGCCGCGCCGCCGGCATGAAACAGGATGACGACCCCACAGTCCAAGCGCGGGGTCATCCACCGGACCTGGAGGGCCCGCAGCCATCCCGCCACCAGCCAGGCCGGCGCCGTCACCACGCCGCACAGCGCGACGAGCTCCGGGGCGGAGGCGCAGCACGGCTTGAAGAATTGGGCCAGCAGGTACGAGGGCGCGAGCGCGCCGGCCGCGGCCTTCGCGGCGGACGCGACGCTGAGGAAGGAGCAGACGGGCGCCAGCCACGCGGTCGGGTCCGCTGCGGGAGGCGTCGCGAGGGCGGATGCGACAAGTATGAGCGATGCAAGGGCCGGTCGGGCGCGTCGGTCACTCCGGGCCACGTGCGTCCTGCTCCCAGCAGTGCAGACCAGGCTCTTGGCCGCTCACCCGGGGCAGCGGGCTCCTGCGGGGCGGCGCCGCCGCTCGCGTCTGCTGCCCTAACCAACGTCCGCCTTGACCTCCCCGCAGCCAAGGGAGATGCGCCCATCGTGGGTCTGCAGCGCGCGCGCCGGTCGCAAACGCCCAAGCCTGCAAGTCGCCGGTGCGGGTTAGGAGGGATCAATATACTCACGATGATGTCCTTCAAATGCGTTTCAGATGTGCACAGGGCCCAACAATGTTGGCTCACCAGTTGCGCGGCAGGGCAGGGCAAACATGATTGCGACCTTGATCTCGGTCACATGTATTGGTAATAAGAGATTACTAATTACGCGATGTGCCACTGCTTGAATGGCTCGCTACAAAACTTTGTCACTCTGACACGATGGCGGGGGTCACCGGACCATGAGGCCCCCTCTTTGAGTATCTGTGTGCTTCAAGCTTACATATCACGCTCTCAAGTGTCGTTTTATTGGGGACTACTGAGGGTTTGCTCGATTTTTGCATACGCTACGGTAGAGGTTCGCAAGCATGCCGTCGTTGCAGCGGGGGCATTCTGCAGCGCACATACAGACGCATTCGGTGGCACCGAGTTTATCGAGGATCAGCAGCTGGAGCCGGAGAGCGCAGCAACAGCAGCGGCGGGAGCAGCACCATCGGGTCGACCGCAAGCGCAGCGATGCTCCGCTGCTGGCTGCCACCACGGCTGCCAGCACCAGCGGCCGGGGCGAGGCGGAGCCACAAGCATCGCGGGAGCGCCTGGACAGTATGCCGTGGACGTTTGGTGCGCAGACGAACGAGCGTCTGTTGCACTGGGATGACAGCGCGGCGGCGCAGCTGTCGCGTATTTGGCTCTGGTGAGCAGCGCGAAAATTGACCGTGCAGCTGCCAGAGCAGCCGTGGCGCGCCATGCATGCTCATCACATCTCCAACCCTGTGACGGCCAAGGTGCCCAGCATCCGCTCGGTTATGATGACATGAGCATGCCGTACTGATTGGCTGGGCTGGCCTCGTAGTATCTAGTCAACAACACCATCGAGCCGCCCGATCGCACCTTTCTTTACCACCCATATTGCCGCTGCCCCTCGCCTTGCAGCGGCCAGCTGGGCGTGGACCAGCGGGAGCTAGGGGAGCGCCTTGCGGCTCTAGGCAACCTGCTGCCGGACATGGTGGCCAAACTGCACGCGCTGAGGGCGCCCCTGGTCCTACAGCTGCTGCAGGTGCGGGGAAGCTGCTCTGGGAGTTGATTCAGTCGGGGCCGCTGGATGGGGCCCCTGGGTGGCTGGTGCTCACACGCTCACCATTCCAGAAAGTCAGTACCAGCTGCTGCTGTGGCGGATGGAAAAGAGGGTGAACCAGGGTGCTGATCCACCTGCTCCTGTTTTTGGGCGGGCGTAGGACACGCCGGCTGTCGCGACGCGGCTGCTGCAGCTGCGGGCGCTGCTGCCGGGCGCGGATGTGTCAGCTGTCGTGGCGCAGCGGCCGGAGCTCTTCCTGAAAACGCCGGTGCGCTGTTGTTGACGCAGGGGCTGCGGGGCTGTGCTGAGGCAGTTCACGGCCTCATTTGCAGCGCTCCAGCACTGGCAGCCAACCCCCTGCTCGGATGGCACGGCTGACGCACTGATGGACGAGCGGGCAAGAAGCAATCCTCCTGTGACTGCCAAGTCGCAACCCCCTGCCTGTTACTAACAAACCGCCAGTTGGCCGACCTGGAAGCCGCAGTGGCGGGGCTGCACAGCCACCTCCCGGGCGTCGCCGTGGGGCCGCTCGTGGAGCGGGAGCCGATGCTGCTGCGCGCCGACATACGGGTGCTGCTGTCGGAGGTCACGCGCCTCATGCCTGTGCGTGCGCCCGGCTGGAGCTGCCGCAGTGCAGGGCTCCCAGGGCGATGAGGTTATGAGATCTGATGTCGGAATTACTGCAACGTGCCGCCGTCGCTTGTGGAGCAATCCTAATATACCAATCACTGTATGCAAACTTATGAGATGGAGCAATGCCGGGGCGGGGCGGAGCTGCTTATCCTGCAATCGGCGCACAAGCGCTGGGCAGCCGGCGCGCAGTCGTTGCGGCCACGGTGGTTGCCCACGTGCGGCGTCCGTGCGGCTGACTGAGACTGACTGTTGCGAAACCCCCTCTTTGACTCTTGCTCCCCCCACCCACCCCC